GTTGCATCACAGGATCGTGAGATATGGCGACATTGGATCGATCGTGGCTGATGATTGCTTTGGCAATTGCGGTCGAGTGTCGGTCGAAGTAAAATGCAACGTTAGGATGTTATTGAATTTTGAAAGCGTGCCTAAATTCTACAAATCACGCTGCGGAAATAAGTCGCTTGAATTTAAAACATTACTTTATATTTAACGGATAGATTTTTAAGTTTAAATACGCTGAGAACCTGGGGCCAACAATGTATTGATTGTTATCTTAACTGAAGTTAATTCGAAATTTTTTTGTCGTTGAAAAATGTTCTGTAGGACTTTTGTTTCGTGGTTTTTGGCTTTGTCATGCGGGGATGGCTGTTGATTTCCTTGGCACGGGAGAAAAAATGCGAAGGTGGATTGCTGTGGTTGAGCCCTTTTCTTTTGCTTTGTACTTGAGTATTCTGCTGTGCTATTGGCATCAGGTCTTGAGACAAACAGATGTCCTGGAACTCTCGCAGTGAGAGGCGTGCATCATCCAATGTCCCCCACAAGGGGAAAACACAGATCGTGCTTTTTTTTTTAAATCGTCCTTGCGCCTTGCAACGAGAATTCGTAACAGGAGGATGCTTTTTTTACCATTCATCGCTTTTAAAATGCCAAAATACATTCACAAATAATAAAGTTTCTTTTTGTGAATTCGGCACTCACCGGGCTGACACTGTCAGTTCTCGCTGGCTTGGGAAGACAGGTTAATCTCCGTTGGCCGAAACCCAGGTCTTAAACCCAGCTCTTAAACCCAGCTCTTAAACCCAGGTCTTAAACCCAGGTCTTAAACCCAGGTCTTAAACCCAGGTCTTAAACCCAGCTCTTAAACCCAGCTCTTAAACCCAGGTCTTAAACCCAGCTCTTAAACCCAGGTCTTAAACCCAGGTCTTAAACCCAGCTCTTAAACCTAGCTCTTAAACCCAGATCTTAAACCCAGCTCTTAAACCCAGGTCTTAAACCCACCTCTGAAACCGAGCTCTTAAACCCAGGTCTTAAACCCAGCTCTTAAACCCAGCTCTTAAACCCAGGTCTTAAACCCAGTTCTTAAGCCCAGCTCTTAAACCCAGCTCTTAAACCCAGATCTTAAACCCAGCTCTTAAACCCAGGTCTTAAACCCAGCTCTTAAACCCAGCTCTTAAACCCAGGTCTTAAACCCAGCTCTTAAACCCAGCTCTTAAACCCAGCTCTTAAACCCAGCTCTTAAACCCAGCTCTTAAACCCAGCTCTTAAACCCAGCTCTTAAACCCAGCTCTTAAACCCAGTTCTTAAGCCCAGCTCTTAAACCCAGCTCTTAAACCCAGATCTTAAACCCAGCTCTTAAACCCAGGTCTTAAACCCAGATCTTAAACCCAGCTCTTAAACCAGCTCTTAAACCCAGCTCTTAAACCCAGCTCTTAAACCCAGCTCTTAACCCAGCTCTTAACCCCAGCTCTTAAACCCAGCTCATAAACCCAGGATTCTCATCGGTACTGCCTGCAGTGCACCGACACGGCGATTTTGCACGAGTCACCTTAGCCACCGGGCCGAGACCTCGAGCCCGCATCGGCCGTCATCGGAGCCCCGTTTTCGGAAGACCCCGGAATTCCTCAGCGTCCAGCACGATTGACATTTCGCAAGGACGCCCACCGTGAAGCCGGGGAAACTTACCGGGTAGCCACCATCAATGCACCCTTGACAAGCAGCCTTCCCCCCCTCTACCCCACCGCCGCCTCTTTGGCCACGCATCACTTAATTAAACAACAACAAGGCTTAGGTTTGTTCTTTAGCCTTGCGGGTTGGATTTTTTTTGGCAAATTTTTTTTAAAAAGAAACGAGCAAGTCGCCAGGCCGCCGCGGGGATAGTTGGCTCTCTCATGAACGACCCTGGAAATGTGTGCTTCGGAGCGAGTCCAGGCCACGAGGCGCTGCGTGCCCACCCCCGCTCTGCCCGGCGAGAGGAGAAGCGGAGGAGGCAGGCGGAGAGAGAGGCTCACAGAGCCAGCGAGAGCCCCCCCCCCCCCCCCAGGTACAGCAGCCGCGCACTCAACAGCCTATACGTTCATAATAAAGGTGTATGTGTCGTTAACACCCGCCACCACCCGACACAGCCAACTAGTAAGGGTTGTCACGTAAACAGAACATGCCAATTCGTCACTAGTACAGCACGCCGGTGTGTTGGAGAGCCAAGCCACAACATTTACAAGCCTATACGTTAAGAGTTGTGTTGAACGCCAGATAATTGCGTTCGAAACGTAGGTGGGGTTTTGTTTTCTTTTCTCTCAATTCAAAATGTTGTTCCGATTGAGAAGTGTTTTCAAATATAAATCCGCACCGGCGTTGCGAGGCCCTCATCCAGCAGTCGACTGACGAGAGAGCGGTGGGCGATGTGCGCGCATGTTGCCGGCGTTGTTGCCACTAGATAAAGGATCGTATCGCAACTCTCGCAGAGCGGCGCGCAACCCCCGTGGTTAGAAAACGGCCTGCAGCAGAAGGAGATCTCACAGAGCTACTACTGAGAGCCCATCGGACGATAGGGGTGTCTCTTTGCACGGCTAGGGAGCGCAATTTACAACACGCCCAGTCACCAAGAAATGTTCATCGCGTGGCAATGAAATAAGAAATGAAAAATCTAAGCCCTGAAATTTTGGCAAAAAAGTAAAATATTTTTTATTCATTATTTTGTGTTTGTAGTCAATGGTAACCAGGCCGAGGCAATCGACTCGCCGCACTTGGGAACCCGGTTGAATCGCGGCCGTGTGCGCAGATTCACACCCCCAGGTTGTCGTCGGTGTTCGCTCAGTCCCTGGGCTCCCCTCCTATCACCACCTCCTTAAATAGTATGCACTGTATGTGTGTGTGTATATATAAACATTTTATTTTACAATTGTAACTGGTTACTGCTGTAATTTGTATTCACTGCTTGTACACCGAAAATCATTTAATTGCATTATACCTTCCAATAAAATGTATCAAATTTGTAATGGAAACTATTTACTCTATAATTTGCATGCAATTATTTTTACTGTATTCATCTATTGTTTTTTTTTATCATACGAGGTGCTGCCGTGGCGAGATGTTAACTACCTCGTCTGGTATACAGGAAGGTTGTGGGTTCGATCCCGACCCTAACAATGCCTGTATATTTGTCTCTCTTCATGTAGTCGCGTCGATTTTTCTCTGGGTCCTCCACATTTTGAATCAACATGCGTTTCGAGTGTCAGGCTGCAATACATTTCCACATACGCCACCTCGTTGAGCTATCATTTGCGGTCAGTTCGCTTCTGAAAAAGAGCTATGTAGCTCAGTGGACCTTACCTTGAGCTCTATATTAATGTTGCACGCTCTTCTCTTCTTGAAAACATAGCTGTCACTTGCACGTGCTTTTATATAAAGGCCATAAACTGTTCCCCCCCCCTCTCCCCGCTATTGGAATGTGGAATTTCCACAATTCGCACAGAGCCGAGCACTGCTCCCACACTTGTTTAAGCAAGAAGACACTTTGATAATAAAAAAATGCATGCGTTTAAAAAAGAACTTATAGTGTTGTAGCACTTCATCGATGAAAGGCATCGTGGGTCAGTGTCAGTCTTGGTGGGTTTTTTTTCTTTCAACCATACTTCACCACACTGGTCCAGTGCAAATTCGTGAAAGGGATGTCCAGGGGACTGCTTTTTAAATCCTTTATATTAAGTTCGCTTGCTTGCTTAGGACCGTGCAAATCTTTCTGTCGTTTTTTAACCCACTTCCCGTGATCCAATCGAGCTGACATTTTGCGCACAGGCTCGTTGTGCGTGACAATGCAATTTTCGTGAAAAAAATTTTTCCAAAATTTTACACTGTTTAGGGAATTTTTTACAAATATTGAATTACCAATTGTTTAATGCTGCCAGACAATCATCTGACCCATAGGTGGCAGCCATCTCAAGCCAGAGGACGAGAGGACTCTAGCCGCCCCGATGCCACGTATATAAAGGATTTATAGTGAAAACTTTGTTTTTACGGGTTTACTTGTTTACATATTCGCTTAGCCACTGACCTTAGGTGTGGCCGGGAATAATTATCAGGTAACGGGGGGGGGGGGGGGGGGAGTAGAGCGGTGCGCCAACCATTCACCACGCCGTCGCTCCGCCAACAGAATGTAGATTACGTATGGAATTTGTTTCCTTGGCAGATAAAACATCGTGAATATAAAAGCAAAAATGGATGCATAACACAACGGGTCTGAGCTTGAATAACAGCGAGTTGTTTATTAAACCCAGTAAATGTATGCTGATAACAAAAAAATGCACGCGGTGTATAAACATACTGTGGACCAAGGAAACGTTACATAGCTCTTCTACCTATATTGTAAGATGGGCTAACCAGTAGATTAATGCTGTTATCAAAATGATCGTGGTTAACATAGTGTACTATAAATGATCAGTAACAAGTATAACAACCATACAATCATCTAATGTGGTCAGTTATTGAGGAAGCTGTGTAGAAGTGAATAGTGCATTGTATCAAGACAAAATCCTATTAGAACATCAGTAATACCTACTTGAAGTCTCTACCAACAAATAACGCTTGTAAAATAAAAACAGAATAACAAACTGGTAACTACAGGACTATTGCTAGATTATAAAATGATGCCTTTTAAAAACAAAGTTCTTGCTCTTTGCGTTCGTTCCGCCACAACAAGTCGTGTTTCCAGGGCTGGCTTTGATGTCCGCGTGGTGTGGAGAGTGGGAGTTTCGTGCCGACGCTGGCTGTGAGTGTGCAAACGCGGGCAAAGCGAACGTTTAATTCTGACCGAGTGCCCGCATGGAATTCTCCCTCCTCCCCCCCCCCTTTATTCAGGGATGGGATGGAAGTCCTACACTTCCCAAAAAAATATATGAAGCAGCCAGTAGGAGACGATTAAATAGGCAGGCTGTCAAGTTCACAAAGAGGTCTCAGCCGCAGCGGCAGCAAGCGGCATTGGCTACTTTAGCGGCGAAGTGCTCGTGCTTGTTTTGACCTCCCCCCCCCCTTTATTCAGGGATGCAACAACAAATCCCTCAAAATTATTGGACTCGGTTGGAAAGATTCCCAAAAGGATCGAGGAGAGTTGTGGAGGGAAGGGAATGAAATCGTAATTTTGCAAGCAAAGTTAGGAAAGCCTCTCGCGTTTGCTTTGCTCTTCGTCTGTGTGTCTGGTTTACCGTCGCTTTCGTTTCCATGTGTTGTGTTTTATGACCTTTGTTAAAGTAAATCTGTGCTGTCATTTCTCTCTCTTTTTTTTTTGCGGTGCCGCGCGTGTGGCGGCGATGAGTAGCTGCCTCAATGCAACCGAAGAAATGGGAATGCCAGAGGCTGGATTGCTTCGTGATGTTTTCTCTGTTTTGCGCTCTCCTCCCCCCACCCCGCCCATCTATCCCACCCTTCTTTTCGACTCCACAGAGCAATATCCAGAGAAAAATAAAAAAACATGCGGAAACAATTGTGGAATTTTTTTGTTGCCTTGAGGACAGTAAATCTCAAGAAACCCACAGCGAAATAGAAATTGATCATTATTTTGGCAAAAGCCGAAAGCAAAATGAAATGGAGCAACGCGGGCACAGCGGCGGCAATGAGCGCGCGTTTCGGTGATGCGCGCTCGGATTTCACGTCGCTCTTGCTTGTCGCGCATTCCTCGTTATCTTTCCGATTCATCTTCTTTCCTCGGAGTTACAGACACCGACAACAATTTCCGCAGATAAGACTCGTTGCTTTGTGCTTTCAATTCCAATCTTAGGGAATATCTGTCTCGGCTGTTGTTATCAACTTTTCTCTCTTTTGTGAGTAATCCTGTATCTCATTTCTTTTTTTTCATAGACATGCAACTTTATTATAACAATCACAAAAAAAACTGTCTCTTATAAAACTGTCACATACAACAAAATATAATTTTTTTTCTATAGCTTCACAGCAACTCTGCTGGCAGTACATCTCCTCTCAGTTTATTATTTTAAAAAAGTTGTTCCAATCTGGCTTCATGATTGTTGGTACAACAAGACTGCATTAATTGATCTTCACACATATGGAGGTCGTAAGGCAGCAGGGTATTGCATACTCAAAAAAGGCAACATTTTGGGAGAGAAGAAAAAGTTAAGAAGTGACCGAATTAGAGAACCCTTTTCGAATGCAGCTTCCGGAATGTCTCTACGAGGGATGAATGTGACTCCGCGTGACTGCAGCCGTGCCAACGCACCTCTCTCTCTCTCTCTCCCCTCTCTCTCCCCTCTCTCCGTTCAGCCTAAAAAAGGACGCGCGGCATTTTCTAACTGCGTTGTACAACACGGACCGTGGAAACTCGGGAGACGCTTTGCTGTCGGTCTTCAACATTTGATTGTCCGCTTTGGGGGCCACGCCGCCGTGACGTTTGCCGGAAACGCCGGACCCCGTCTTTTTTGGGGCGACCCCGCATCCCGCCCTGCCCGCGTCAGAATGTGGAGTGGAACGCCGGGCATTTGTGGTTCTTGAGCTTCTTGATGATGTTCTTGAGCTCCCTGTTCTTCTTGTCCAGGCGGTAGATGGCCGTGAGCAGCAGCTGCTGCTCAAGCTTGCGCCCCATGATGAGGAAGTTGCCGGCGAGGCTGTCGAGCTGCTGGCAGGGGCAGCCGCCCCCGTTCTTGATGTGCAGCGCGAGCTTCTTGAGGTCCTTCTTGGCCAGCGGGCCTGGCTTGAGCACCTTCCTCTTCTTCTGCTGGGCCATGATCAGTTTGTCCCCACCCGCCTGCTTCACCTCCTTGATCTTCATCTTTATCGCTGCGGAAAACAACGCGCGGAGGGATCACGGGTGAGCACGTACGTAGCCGTAGCAGTAGCGATAATAATCATAAGTACATGTGCAGCACAGAAGGTGTTTTTGTAACAATTACATTTGTTGTGCTGTCCACGACACAATCCAGCATCCCGGATTAAGACGGTCAACCGCATCGCGCGCTTTCAGATGCGCTTCTACGGCTGTCTGGAACGCTCTTCCTTCTGATATTAGGAAGCCACTGGAGCTACGCATTTTTTTTATTTTGACTGAAAACCCCATTTTCTTTTGAAACTGCTTTTCGTGTTAAGTTTGTTGCCCTTCCCGCACGCCTCCGATTAGCGTGTTTGGTTACGTACGGTGCAAAAGCAGTTCAACATACATACATTACATGTGCACGGTAGTCGACCGCCCCACGCACTATCCAGGCCGAGGCACGTTGCTTAGCTCCTGAGATTGGGGTGCCACGGTGGCAAGATGTCACCTACCTCGCCTGGTACACAGGTCGTGAGTTCGATCCCGACCCTGACACCTGTGTATTTGTAGTATGCATGTCTCAATCTCTCTCTCTCCCCGTGGTCGCGGGGATTCATCTCCGGGTCATCTGGATTTTCCCTCCAGATTTAGAATCGACATCACGCGTTTTTAGAGTATTTGGCTGATATAAATTTCCACGCGATAAGCAACTTCGCCGAGCTATCATTTGTAGCCAGCTCGCTTCTGAAAAAGAGATCAATATCTAAGTGGGCCTTTACCTGGTAGGATAAAAAAAAAAGTTTAGTTTAAATAGTTTTTCTGGCAAGATCGTGCCCACGCTGGGCGCTGTGGCTGAAGGGGGGGGGGGGGGGGGGGGGGGTCTCGAGCTAAGACCTAGACACGTGGGTTGTGGCGACGTCAATCGTTTTGACTTCCCATTTAATTTGCGACATCCGACCAAAAGCGAAGCGAGTGGTGACGGTGGAATCTGCAGCATTGGCAGCAATGCCCCCCCTCTCCTCACCCTCCTCCGTTCCTTGCGGCAATGGCAACTGTTGCGTTGGTTTATTTAAAAGAAAAACACACAGCCAGATACTCGACAAGATTAAGGAGAGTTAAGGGAAGCGAAAGGAAAATGCAAGAAAATGTGAACAAACCACGTGCGATTGTGTTCGTGGCAACGTTGAACGGCCGTGCGCGAACGCAGCCCGATGTTTCGTGTTGCGTTCATTCAAAACAAGCACGAGCACTTCGCCGCTAAAGTAGCCAATGCCGCTTGCTGCCGCTGCGGCTGAGACCTCTTTGTGAACTTGACAGCCTGCCTATTTAATCGTCTCCTACTGGCTGCTTCATATATTTTTTTGGGAAGTGTAGGACTTCCATCCCATGCCTCATTAACGATTCATTTCTTTCATAGCTCTTTCCCCCTTTTCCTTTATAAATGTCCTCAGGGGTTAAGGGCGGGCAGGGTGGGGTGTCGTGGGGGTGTGGGATATGAAAGAGAAGCAATTACTGTACAGGGCTTTAAGGAAAACTTTACAAATGCCTTCTTCAACAATTTGTCTCAAACCTACAATAGCAAGTGGACCACTCAGAAGCACACTAAACTGAAAACGATTTCATGCAGGAGGTCGTGGGTTCGATCCCGACCCTGATGTCTGTACTCTTAGTTCTTTCGGTAAAGTCACGTAGGTAAAAAATGAAATTAAAATTAATAAAAATAAAACAATAAAAATCACGACGTTTCGGAGGCAACACAAGTCTCCGTTATCAGGTGTTGCCTCCGAAACGTCGTGATTTTTATTGTTTTATTTTTATTAATTTTAATTTCATTTTTTACCTACGTGACTTTACCGAAAGAACTAAGAGTATGAATCCTTGCAGTCACGAAAGCTTCAAATCTAGAACTGATGTCTGTATTTTGGAGTTTGCATCTCCTCTCTCCCCGTGGTCATGGGGATTTTTCTCCGGGTCATCCGGGTTTCCCCTCCACATTTAGAATCAACATCACGCGTTTAGAGTATTTGGCTGCGATACATTTCCACGTGATAAGCCACTTCGTTGAGCTATCATTTGTGGCCAGGTCGCTTCTGAAAAAGAGCTACATAGCTCGGTGAGCCTTTACTTGGTAAAATAATTTTTAAAAAATCTGTTCAATAGTTTATAGTTTTAGTATTGCAACCTACAGGAGACTTGCTTGCTCGTGTGAGTGCTCTTAAGTCATTTCCGTTGCTCACAAAATTCCCCTCCAGTATAAAAAAAATAAAATCTAATTGACATATTTGCTACAGTTTTTAACCAACCAGATGGTTCACATCCTGAAATGTTTTTACATCCTTTTTAAAACGTAATATTACTTGACGTTTTTGCACACACACACACATGCTATATGTAGCAAATGCTATGAAGGGCTTCGTAAATATATAAAAAAAAGTGTATAGGGTATTTAATTTCTCAGGCTGAGCGGGAACATTTCCGCTGGTTAAGTTTCAATTAATTTTCTGCAAAAAGTGTTTTTGTTAAGTCGTTACGCGTAACCAACGTTTGTGCTAAGCTGACATTTATAACTGTTGGAAATTATCGGAGAGTGGACTTGGCTAGTTCTGAGAGACGATGAGAAAGAGAGAGGGGAGGGGAAGGGGTAAATATATTGGGTAGGGAAGGAGGGGAGAGGATATTGATTTCCTCCAAGCCAAAAATTGTAGCCACATCGGAAACTCATGAAATCAGAAAACGTTCACTCGTTTAAAGTGAGCGTCTATGCGTGATTAACGTAAAATTCAACAAATTATTTGGTGATGCGGCTGCTGCTGCTGCTGCGTTGGCGGTGGTGCACAGGCACGAACACATTACAACAATTCAATACATCCGATTAGCAAGGTTGGCTACGTACGGTGCGAAAGAAGTTCAACATACATACGCACAAAACTGTGGCCTTGAAAGGAAAACAACTACACATGACAGGTGGTGTTTCAACGTTTTGGGCAATGGGCCTTCTTCATAGCAGATAAATAGTTGTCTATAACAGTTACCGGCGCAGCCCTGCAATTGCTGGCTCATGCCACTGCTGGCAGAATGGGCTTCCCACTTCAAGGGAGCTCTAGAACCCCTCCCCCCCAACTAGAGGGTATTTTGGCCTACTCTACCACGCTGCGCAGACGCCTCGGAAGAGGTGGGTGTACCCACACTTTACCTCACCACGCACAACGTGCGGATGAGCTGTGATAAAATCATGACTGACTGCTAGGTGGACAGAAGTGTGGGGGAGTTAAGAAATGTGGCCATTGCCGTGCCGGGAGATCAAAGGATGACTTCTGGATTGCAAGTCTCAGTGTGCTAACCATTAAGCCATGGCAGCACGTGCCATAACTCCCGCATATCAGTTTTTAATCAAACACTTTTTGAACGGACATAATGGGAACAAAAGTGGAGGCTTAAGATACTAAAATAATGCGAGCGGTTTGTTCTCCATTGAAAACTAAACAGCTTTGCGTTTATGTAATTTAAAATCTGTCATGCGCAAGTTGTGTTTAAAATGAGATTCCAAACGTTGCTCCATTTCTTCCGACAAGGTCTTTAAAAGCACCAGCGTGATAAACATTCTGTTCTCCATCTCGAACGAACTCGCATGTTCCAATCTCAAAATCTGCCCGTAAATATTAGTGAATTTTATGGAGTGAGTGTTCCGTAATGCAGACAAGTGTTTATTTTATATCGTGATGCTGCACGCATGCCATATTTCTGAAAACGTTGAACCGTTAGGTGTGAGCAGTTGTCGAGCCGTTAAAATGTTCAGGAAAAAAAAGGAGTAACGTACGTTTTTATCTTTTAAAATGCAATTTCCCCTAAACCGTTTAATGTTTTGCCATTCACGTTTCACTCCATTTCGTTCACAACTATCTGCGAGATTTTGCCGATGGGAAGGCTCATTGGAATAGAACAAAGAGTTCCGTGAATTAAGTTGTAAATGACACCTTGGAAATAAAACAGGCGACACGATGGTTAAATTTAGTCCAAACCCAATAAACTTGCGGAAAATCTAAACGGGCCATGGAACGCAAATATATTTTTGGAGGCAAACTTTTTTTTCCCATTAGAAATTACAGTATTATGAATGGCTTTTGCCCAGATGCTTATGTATATATATATATATATGTGTACTGCAGAAATTCCTGGAATAAATACAATGGGAGTAAAACCATAATCACATTTTAAAGATACATTGGCCGCGTGACTTGGTCTAACTCTCAATGTCAAGGTAATGAGGCGCTGCCAAGGAATCCAGCGCTAAACCTGAGAGAGGGGGGGGGGGGGGGGGGCTCAGCGCAGCTTCGTCTCCCAGAATCCCGAGAAGGGATGGGGCTCCTCTCAAAGGGCATCGAGTTCAGTGGGCCCCCCGGCTCCAGTCCAATGCAGACCGCTCGCCCAAAACCAAAGTAAAATAAGTATAACCCGTAAAAACAAAGTTTTTCACTATAAATCCTTTATATGCGTGGCGGCTAGAGTCCTCTCGTCCTCTGGCTTGAGATGGCTGCCACCTATGGGTCAGATGATTGTCTGCCAGTATTAAGCAATTGGTAATTAAATATTTAATTTGTTTTCCCTAAACAATGTGTAAATTTTGGAATTTTTTTTTCACAAACATTAATTGTCTCGCACAACGAGTCTGTGTGCAAAATGTCAGCTCGATTGGATCACGGGAAGTGGGTTAAAAAACGCCCGAAAGATTTGCACGGTCGTAAGCAAGCAAGCAAGCACGCAAGCACGCAAGCAAGCAAGCGAACGTAATATAAAGGATTAAAAACAACTGACCACGGATATATTCATATATATGTAACGCGGTCGTTCTCGAGTTGAGAAATAGTTCCATACGTACATAGCGGCAGAAGAAATCGCAGATTCTATCCGTAATTACTTCGGATTAAGGGCCTAAATAATCTGGCGGGGTCGTATTTGGTTAGAGCATTTGACTCGCAATTAAAGCTTCACACCCGGACTGGAGTCGATGAATCCCTCTCTGTGGGGAGTC